GGAATGGTCAAGTATGATACTTGACAAAGGCCATAGCATTCAGTGACTTACAAATCATTGATGACCTAGAATTATGGGGCAGGGAAGCCAGATTGGGTTGAGAAAGGAAACAACATATACAACTTTTTAGAGACGTACGAGGGAACTTCAAAAATCTGTGGATCCTTAGTTCTACTCTGAGGCCTCCTTCACATTCTCCTGAATGTATAAATGTATAATTGTCAGAGAGAATCATGGCTTACAATGAATTCCTGGATAGATTTTTTTTTTTTTTTTTTGAGAGGGAGTCTTGCTCTGTCGCCAAGACTGGAATGCAGTGGTGCCATCTCAGTTCACTGCAAACCTTTACCTCCCGAATTGAAGAAATTGTCCCGCTTCCACCTCCCAAGTAGCTGGGATTACATATACCTGGCACCACGCATGGCTAATTTTGAATTTTTAGTAGAGACAGGGTTTCACCATGTTGGCCAGGCTGGTATCCAACTCCTGACCTCAAGTGATGTGCACACCTAAACCTCCCAATGGGTTGGGAATACAGGTGTGAGCCACTCGGCCCAGCCTGGATTTTTTTCTTTTGAGGTAAGGTCTCTGTCTGTCACCACCGCTGGATTGCAACAGCACAATCACAGCTCACTGCATCCTTGACCTTCTGGGTTCAGTTGATCCTCCCACATCAGCCTCCTGAGTAGCTGGGAATATAGACATGGGCCACCATGCCCAGCTAAATTTTGCATTTTTTGTTGAAACAGGGTTTTGCCATGTTGCCCAGGCTGGTCTCAAACTCTTGGGCTCAAGCATTCTGCCCACCTTAGTCTCCCAAAGTGCTGGGATTATAGGTGTGAGCCACTGTGTCCAGCATTATGGATTTTTAAAAGAGCAGAGGCCAGGTACAGTGGCTCACTCCTGTAATCCTAACACTTTGGGAGGCTGAATCTAGTCGACTACCTGAGGTCAGGAGTTCAAAACCAGCCTGGCCAACATGGCAAATCCCCATCTCTACTAAAAAATAGAAAAAAAAAAATTAGCCATGTGTGGTGGTGCACACCTGTAGTACAAACTCCTCAGTAGACTCAGGCAGGAGAATCGCTTGAACACAGGAGGCAGAGGTTGCAGCGAGTGGAGATCACGTCACTGCACTCCAGCCTGGGTGACAGAGCTCTGTCTACAAAAAAAAAAAAAGAAATAAAAGATAAAAAATATTAACTTCTTATCATAAGATCCACCAAGATCAAGACACTTTGCTTACAACAAGTAAGCAAGGATACTAGCCATTTATTTATTTATTTTTGTCTCTTGCTCACAGCAATTAGATACTAGCCATTTTATCCATCCCCAAAGAATTGGAGGTTCTGGGAATTTATATCCGTACAATCTTTTTTACATTATTAACTGGAATAAAATGGTTCCCTTTACAGATTTTTTTATCATTAGGAAACCAAAAGAAGTTAGAAGGAGCTAAATCCCAACTGTAGGGTGGATGCATACTGGTTTCCCATTGAAACTCTCAAAATTTTCCCTGCTTGATGAGAGGCATGAGCAGAAGCTTAGAAGCTTTGCCATGGTAGAAAAGGATTCTCTGGTGAAGCTTTCCTGGGTATTTTTTCTTCTAAAGCTTTGACTTTTTCAAAACACTCTCATATTAAGCAGGTTTTATTATTCTTCAGCCCTCCAGAAAGTCAACAAGCAAAATTTCTTGAGTAGCTCCAAAAACTATTGCTATGACCTTTGCTCTTGGCCAGTCCACTTCACTTTGACTGGACCACTTCCACCTGTTCGGAGTCATCACTTTGATTGTGCTGTGTCTTTAGAGTCATACTCGGAAAGCCGCGTTTCACCTCCTGTTACACTTTCCCGATAGATGCTTCATGATCTATTGGTTGGTGCAAAAATAATTGTGGTTTTTGACATTCCTTTCAATGGCAAAAATCGCAATTAATTTTGCGGTAAGCAATAGATCCCACTTATTTAAAATTTCCATTGAAAGCTCTGTTCTTGTCTGCAGCTGATCTGGTTTTGACACCCATCAACTGGAAAGTTTGCTCAGCTTTTAATTTTTCAGTCAGAATTGTGTAAGCTGAACCAATTGCGATGTCTGTGGTGTTGGCTGTTGTTTTTTGCTGTTAATTGTTAGTCCTTCCAAATTAGGGCACAAAGAAGATTAATTTTTTTCCTCACAAATTGATGTAGATAACCTATTGCTGCAGGCTTCATCTTCAGCATTGTCTTGTCCTTTCTTACAAGTTAACTATTTGTAAACTGCTGATTTCTTTAGGTGCATTGTCCCCATAAACTTTTCATAAAGCATCAGTGATTTTACCATTCTTCCTCCCAAGCTTCCCCCTAAATGTGATGTTTGTTGTTGTTGCTTCAATTTTAGCAGAATTCATTTTGCTCTGATTGGAGCTCTTTTCAAACTGATTACCTCTCCTTTTTAATGCCTCAAACTAGATCCTGTGGAGACATTTTATAACGCGTTAGTACCCAGTTTATTCTGGTGCAAAAATATTTTGTTTTTCAGATGAAGTCTCACTCTGTCACCCAGGCTGGAGTGCTGTGATGTCATCTCAGCTCACTGCAACCTCACCTCCTGAGTTGAAGTGATTCTCCTGCCTCAGCCTCCCGAATAGCTGGGATTACAAGTGTGCACCACCACGACTGGCTAATTTTTGTATTTTTTCATAGAGATGAGGTTTCACCATATTGGCCAGGCTGGTCTCAAACTCCTGACCTTAAGTGATCTACCCATCTCAGCCTCCCAAAGTGCTGGGATTACAGGTGTGAGTCATCACGCCCAGTCCTCAAAAAGATTTTGCAATCCATGCATAGTTTCTTAATACAGTAATACACATTTCCCACAGACTTTTTGAAGACTTCTCATATGGCTGTTTATATGGTTGGGCTCTGTGTCCCCACCCAAATCTCACCTTGAATTGTAATCCTCATGTATCAAAGGAGGAACTTGGTGGGAGGTGATTGGATTAGGAGGGCGGTTTCTCTCATGCTGTTCTCCTGATAGTAAGTCACAGCAGATCTGATGGTCTTAAAAGTGGCAGTTTTTCCTATGCTTGCAATTAACCTCTCACCTGTTGCCATGTAAGACATGCCAGCTTCACATTCTGCCATAATTGTAAATTTCCTGAGGCCTCCTGAACCATTTGAAACTGTGAGTCAATTAAACCTCTTCTCTTTAGATATTACCCAGTCTCGGGTATTTCTATCAGTGTGAAAACGGACTAATACAGCTGTGAAAGAAATGGAGATACATATGTTAATAGTGTTAATGAAGCATTATTTTAAATATGAAAAAAGTAAGTTTAGAAGCCAAAAGGAAATCTCTAGAAGGATGACTACCTAAAAGAAATAACTAATAGTGTAGGCTTCCTGCAAAGGCAGGTGAAAATGGAACCCAGGGTAGAGGTCAGAGGAGTCGGCCTTAGGAGAAGCAATGCTCATGAACCACCAAGCGTGAGCTGATACTGCTTGCCTCTTTGTCTAGCCTGTTGCCAGCCATCTCAAGGCTGTCTTCATGTCAGCATCTCCCTCTTTTGTTCTACTTGCCTTGCCTGTCCAGCTCTGGGTAAACTGCACTTCCCCACCCCACCCTCTTAAATTTCTTACACTGGCTCATTCATTTAGCAAACATGTACCAATCACTGACTGTGTGTCTGGCCCTGGAGGTCAGGGATTCAAATAAGTCCTTGTGCCTGTGGAACTCATGTTTCAGTGTTGGCAAGAGACAAGTAGCAATAATCAGATCATGACGCACAATGTCGGAAGGGTCGTAGTAGCACGGGGTGGTGTGGGAGCCTCCTGCCCCTAAGCTGCAAGTGTTGCTGGAGAAAATCCCTCAACCAGATCAACTGGCAAAACCACAGGAGCGCCCTCCCTCCTGCTAAGCAACTTTTAAAACCCATCTTGAATTGGTATCCTTTCCCAGCGCCACCTTTCTTCTACTTTGCCCCCTTTCTCTCGTTTCTTATGTTGCAGGCAAGGGGTGTGAGGACCACTTCCTCATAAAGCATCATTTCATACCCTTAATAACTATAGACCAAGCACAGTGGCTTATGCCTATAAGCCCAGCACTTTGAGAGGCTGAGGCAAGCAGATCACTTGAGGTCAGCAGTTGGAGACGAGCCAGGTCTACATGGCAAAACCCTGTCTCAGCATTTCGGAGGCCAAGGCAGGAGGATCACTTAACTTCAGGAGTTCAAGACCAGCCTGGATAACATAGGGAGACCCCATCTCTACTAAAAATTTTAGAACTTAGCCCAGTGTGAGAGAGTACCTGCAATCCCAGCTACGAGGGAGCTGAGGTGGGATGATTGCTTGAGTCTGGAATGTCAAGGCTGCAGTGAGCTGTGATCGTGCCACTTTTACTTCATCCTGGGTAACACCATGAGACCATGTCTCCAGACAAAAAAGAAATTGACCAGACTTATAAAATAATAATTGTGAAATGATTGCTTTTCTTTGGAGATGGAGAGAAGCAGTGGGCATGCTGTCATTTACCATACCCTCGCTTTGGTTTTAAATGACTTGGGTTTAGTATATATTAATACATAACTTAGGACTCAGAAAGTCCTATGTAAATGCTGAGCAGCATTGTAGTAACAGTAACATATTTTGTTGCACTTCAGGATCCTCCGGGAATGCAGGTTAACCATCCAGGAGCTCGAAGCCGAGGTCGACGCTGGCGCCCTGATGGCAGCACCAAGCCTGGAGATTCAGCAGTAGAAAGAAAGCAGGAAAGTGATATTAACCAAAGAAAAGAAGGAGGAAGAGAGTGATAAGTCCGGATGGCCTTAGGTGTCCTGACTGTCTAGGTAGCCAAAGAGCACACTTAAGCAATCCAGAAGTGCCTTCAGGGCAAAGAATAGAGAGAAAGGGGAGTCGCTGTACTGGTGGGGTACACTGCAGAGGAGTAAGTTTTGCGTCAAAGCAGGAATTGGATTGGTGGTTCAGAATTGGAAGTACAATTTCATTGTTTTTGTAATTTCCACAAATTAATTTTAAAGTGTCAGAAAAAGGCGAAGGCGAGGACATGCATTGCAATTTACAGGGGGGAATATCAAGTGAGGACTTCATCACGTGTGACACAAGAGAAAAGTAAGAGCTGGTTCTAAATCAAAAGCTGTTGTTTGTCCTGAATTGGATTTTCTTTTCTGTATGTTTTTTCTTTTTTTTTTTTTGAGACAGGGTCTCACTCTGTTGGCCAGGCTGGAGTGCAGTGGCGCAATGCAGACTGTTCACTGCAACCTCCACCTCCTGGGTTCAAGTGATTCTCCTGCCTCAGCCTCCCGAGTTGCTGGGATTACAGACATTTTTAGTAGAGATGGGGTTTCACCATGTTGGCCATGCTGGTCTTGAACTTCTGACCTCAGGTGATCCTCCCACCTCGGCCTTCCAAAGCGCTGGGATTACAGGCATGAGCCATTGTGCCTGTTTGTTCCAATCTAGTTCTATTTCATTGTTGATGTTAACTGTTGACTTTGTGTAGTGTAGAAGCAACAAGCATGTCCTTGTAGTACAAGTACAGGGAAGGATAGAACAACAAACTTTTGTTGATGCAAAAATTTAAATAGTCATGTTATTTCTGCATCTAAAGTTTTAGGATTAGTTTTAGTTTTTTGTTTGCTTACATGAGCTTAGCATGAAGCATATTTTGAAACATCTCGTTTTGTCTTCAGCTTTTTTTTCTATTAATAGGTAAAAATGTAGTATTTGTTTGACTGTTGACAATCCCATGTGTGTTTGATCTTAGGTCCCATGATGTGAGTGCATACCCTTTCCAGGAAGGAAACTGCACCATTCCTGTTAAACGGCAACTTTTTGTCTCAGCTTGTATTGATGAAATAAACAGTAACAGCATTCAAGTATGAAGCTAAGTGTGTTTATTAACTTCACTAAGTAGCTGTGATTTTTGAGAAATTTTTTTTTTTTTTTTTTTT